CTTAACCAACCTCTCATTTAAAAAACATATCCATAAAAAAAATTGCAATACAATTCTATAAATATTCAGTTGGATGTTCAAATAGATATCAACACTAATATCCCCTTTGGAATTAAGTTTTCCTTACAATGATAACTAATGATTCCAACAATACCTTTTCAAACAATTTAATGTTGTAAACAAATTATTAGAATATACAATATTAATTAGAATTTGAAAGATATAACACTAGAATTATCATTAGAAAGCGGTAGGAATACATTGTCATTAGAATTTTTTTGTTGAAATTTGATGATTTTGAAACGGAAAAATAGAGTACACAAGGTGTGCTCGAACACCGAAATCAAAAGCGGAAGCAACTAAATGTAAAAATCTCTTTGGGGAGTATCTCGCTACCCCTCAGAGCTATTTTATTAATATATCAGTTTGAACAATTAGACTTGCATGACTCATATTCTTTCCTAATCTAGCCAACAATATATTTGGCTCTATTAATTAATCATCTCATCACAACACGTGGACTTCCCAATAACTTTGAATCCTTCCCATACAAGAATTTGATCCCTAACCAGAATAAGTATTTGTAAAAAGAAAAAAAAAATCAGCACTTCAGGGTCTAAAAACACCATAAATAATATGGCACCACATGTGGAACCATATTATGGTGCCACAATATGATGTGGCACATTATGATTGGTGCCACAACATGATGTGTGATAGTTGTGGCACCAATCATAATGTGTCACATCATGTTGTGGCACTATAATATGATGTCACATGTGGTGTCATAGAATTTCTGCTAAAAACACTGAAAAACTTAGTCGATTAAAAGAAAATAAAAATTCTCACAAATACTCAGTGAACCCTAGAATATATTAAACTCAATGATTTCAACAATCTTCAATTGAGTCTTCGTGTACGCTTATATTCAAATTCCTCAAGGTAAGTAGTCTTCTAACCTTTCTTCTTTTCTTTTTGGAGTCGATTTTCTTCCTCATGATTACATCAAGTCCTAAACGAGATCTTCCTATCTTCAAACTAAGATCTTCATATATGGTCTTTTTTTACCAGCTTCTCCTCTTTACTAAAGCACTAAACACGTGATATCCCTACAAATAACCAAATAATGATCATAGTCATAAAGACTACATATATAAATAAAGTCTAATATATATGCCTACAATACTTAATAAAATAGTATTTAGACTTTAAATAAATGAAGTGAGAGTGAGAATAGATTTACTCATAGAAAACTGACGGACCGTCGTAGAAACCATCTGAGTCGTCGATAAGATGCTCCACCCGAAAACAAATCTCGCACCGCGACTCACTAAAGCCCTCAGTTGTACTCCGAGGCTTCCGACGCAACTGCTCCTCTCCACGTAACCTGAGGTCAAACCCCGCTAGTCGCGATGATCGTCCTCGTCGAAGCCCTCAGCTTCACGGTGCGCCTGCCGGTCGCCGAAGGAATTGACGTCTGAAATGGTCTCCTCGCCCTCGTCTTCGCCGGGCAGCGGTTGTGGTGAACGTTGGCGGGGCGCCCCACCTATGAGAGTTTTTCACATCCTGCGGAATCCCATACGCACGCTCTGGTTGCCGACGTTGTGGTACGTCTGCGCACCCTCCACCATGGTACGGATAGTGAAACGCAATTCCTCGATACCTGTTGACAGACCTGTGAATCGATCGTCCATCTGCTGAAACTGATCATTGATGGCGGCATGCTGGTCGATTGCATCTTGTCGTCGCAGCGGCATCGTGAATTGTGCTGACTTTTGATACCAACTAATGTAGCGTGATAGACAATTGAGAATAAGAGAAGAGAACTCTTTCGATAAACTGTATATTCTTATTCAAAATCAACCAAAGAACATCAAAAAAGCGAGTTTAGTAAATGAAACTCTCAAACCCCTAAATCTAACTTGTCCACCAAGCAAAAGCTAATAAATATTAAATAATCATCAATATGAAATGCTAATAATAATATTAGCAAATTTTTTCAAAAAGCTATTTTTTTTTTTTGTACTTTTTAAAAAATGCATCTTAATTTCTAGGGCACTGGCTAAATTTGCGAAAACTTGTTGTACTTTAAAATTTAACTTAAGCCGCTCACTTAAGTATTTGTGGGAACTCACTTCCCAAATGATCTCAACTTCTCAAAACAACCAATATGTCTCAAACTAATTCTCAACAAATAGTTCTCGAAACAAGGGTTAAACTTCATAAATAAAGTATAAATTGTTTAGTAATTGACCACCCTGCCATTCGTGTCTGGCACAAACTCGATCAATCTGAACGGGGGAAATATAAGGGGTGAGCAAAACACTAGCTCAGTGAGGTTACTGCGCGATTATTTGCTGTAATAACAGACATCATTAACATAAACATGAAACATGTATAAACTGGTCTCATATGCACTCTTCGATAGAAAAATGGGATACTGCCCAACCGCGCACCGGGAGGTCTAGATCATGTGTGCATACCTCGACGGAAAAACAGAATATTGCCCAACTGCACACCAGGAGATCTATCTCATAACTGATGCCCTGATCAAGTAAAATCCTCACATAACATATCTCAATCATAATAACAAATGTTTCTAGAGAACAAGACGTAGTACAAAATCCCCACCTCAAATGCGGAAGAATGAGTGAATGCTCGATGATCTTCATGAGGACTTGACTCATCCTAATCTACAAGTTATAGTTTTATTTAATATGATATTTTGCTTAATGAATTATTAAAATATATTCTTCATTTAATTTGCTTAATTAAACCACTTAACTAAATTCTTAATATAAATTCTTAATTTGATTAATTAACTTCTCTACTTAATTCTTCTTACTTTCTAAGCTCGACTAAAGTTCGCAGATAAAAATAATATCCTAAGGTCAGAAAACTCTTTTTAACTTATAGCTAAGGTTACTAGTTGCAAGGGCAGACACTTGAATGGTCACTGGTCTACACTTGTTGTACTGGTCTAGCCTAGGCTCGGCTCACAACAATGCACAGGTCGCACAGGTGTTGCGGGCTGCACGGGTCGCCTGGCGATGCGGTCTGATGATGAAGATCGTGTATCTCAATACCTTGGTTTGTGTCGAAAGGCTTGCTAACAACATTCCTTCTTCACGATAGATTGCGTAGAAAGGTGCACTATCGACCTTCCTTCTACACGGTTTGTGATCAAACCCGCACCAATGACTAATAGGTCGAAAAAAGTACATGTTTAATATGTTTAATAGTGTATTTTTATGCGCTTAATTTATTCGCATGTTTATATTTTTTGACTTATTTATTATTTGAATGAATTCATATACATTGATATTTTTATGTTTATTTTTAGCATGTCAGATATTTTCATGAACGGGAAGCCGTTGAGGAGAGTTCAAATAGCCGTTACCATATATGCCATAATAATAGCCCAATGTAAGTCCAATGATTTATTGAAATTGGGCCTAAAAGATCCACAACATTTTGGCCCAAGTGCAAGAGCTCTAAGCCCACTCACCAATTAGTTGTTGGCTATCAATAAATCACTTAGTTTTATTGTTGGCGTGAGAAATGATAATTTGAATTTGGGCCTACAATTGAGGTGAATTGAGAAAGGTGACTTCTTGAATAGACCATCCAACTTGAAGAGGATATTTGAAATAGCGAGGACTTTGGCCTTTGTGTGGCATAGTAGTGTGGTACCCGTACGATGCACGTGCTAGTTTTATTATGATAAGCATTTAGATTAGATGAATGAAAAAACGTAAAACGCATATATTAGAATAAAACAAAATGTAACTTACATATTAAGAAACGCATTCTTGTATACAACATTATTTGTTTGCCCTTTCGTTAAATCGTCTACCGCCACAAATTAAAATTTTCAAACACTTAAGATTCGTAGCGCGTGAAACATGCATAAAGCTGGCCGTGAAGGGTACATATATTAGGATTCTAAACATGTTTAAATAAATCAATTAAATTATTTAGCAGGATATATCTTATATGATTTATACTTGTTTTATGAAGATTGCATAGCAAAATATAACAGTAAAACGGTTTTCTTGATAATATATAGTTAATTCGAATTTTAGATTGCCAATATATATATAAATAATAGTAATTTAATAGGAAGTTCATTTATATGAGAATATGTGATTGTATTTTATTTTAATAGAAAATTTTCATTCAGCCAATTTTTAGTTCAACCAGATTTTTCGAATAAAAAATGAGAAAGAATTTTGATTTTTAGAAAATCGTAAACACTACCGAAATCTACCAAAATTAAATCTACAATACCCATCATTTTAGGGTGGATTTAAGGTTAATCGATTTTTGGGGTTAATAAATTTAAAAAAAAAAATTAAAAAAACTACCGGCATGCAATAAATGTGGGCCAATTTTATGGCAACTCAATGATAAGGGATTTAAAAAGTAAAATTTTATATTCGAAATAAGACCTAATTATTTTCAATTAGATTTTTTGAATAAAAAATGAGAACGAATTTTGATTTCTATTTAATTGAGAATGAATTTTGATATCTGAAATTTTCAAAAAATACATCAACAAAACCCATCAATTTAGGGTGTATTTATGGATGACCGATTTCTTGGATTAAGATTAAAGTTGAGATAAGATTTCTTCTATGTACCTTATCCCAATAAATCAGCCGATTTATTTCTATATTCGTAAATGTCCAACAATATCTATTTTTTAGAACACTTTATTAGATTGGTGGGTGTTTTACATAAAATTGGCGTCAAACATCTAAAATGGTTATTCTTTTAATATAATTATAGATTTCTTTTTATTGGCCGTGAGCTGCGGGAAAAGAGATGAGCGGAAAGAGTTAATCTGCTGAAAGAAAAATACGCACGAAGAGCATAGACAGAAAACAGAGAACACCGACACAACATTCCATGGGTTGGAATTATGTAAAACTAGATCTTCATAGGTAAAAATAGAAGTACAAAACTACTTGCCAACTTCTTTCCTCATATTCACATCCTTAACCATTACTATAACAATCAAGACCACCTTCCTCCAAAAACAACTTCATCAGATTCTTCGAAAACCCGCTCACGAGCGCCACTTCCGGCTGGCCCGCCCCCACCGGTGTGGCCCGTGACTCCCTCAGGTTCCAAAACTTCCTCACAATCGCTCGGTAGTCAGTCTCCCACGGGTTCAGTGACACCTGGTCAAACTCCATATCACTGAAAACAAACACCCTCTTGATCATATTCTCTGGCTTCAGTTTCCCTTCGACAGCCACCACAAGCAGCAAATCAAAAACCTTCTGGAAGTCGGTGTTCATCATCCAATCCATCCTCCTCACAAACTCAGTCTTCTCCTTCAAGTTTTCCCCCTTCACTGCGTGAAGCTGGGGTTTCTCGCTGAAAGTTATGACCTTTCCCTTCCACGGCTCCTCGCTAAGCTCAGACACCAAAATCCCGAGCGCCACCGACACCAAAATCGGTTCCCCTGCCATACTACCGGGGCGGAGCCACCCTAGGGCTAGGGTGGGCTCCAGCCCCATGTCCCAAGAAAAAAAAAAATTGATAACCTTATTTTTTAAAAAATTTTATACATAGGCTCATTAGCCCCATGTAATTTTTTTATGTAGCCCCATTTAATTTGCGCTGAATGGTTCAAGGTTCAGGTCAAAAATTTTTATCTGACAACAATGTTTGAAAAGTGGTAATTATAATGTCAAATAACAATCGTGACCTTATTAGATTTTATCATTGAGTTTATAATGTGACCCACCACACTTTTGCCTTTTAAATTTTTAATGTTGACTTGACAAATATCAAATGAGCTAGATAATTAAGTTTGACACAGACTTCTCCAACTGGCTGTTTAATTGGGTTCGTCTCATTCCATAGCCCTTTATCTCTTTTTATTTATTTATTTTTTTTTGTTGATTTTGCCTCCAATATTAATTTGGCATAATTTCCTAGACGAAGAGAAAACTCGTACAGAGTTGATTGCAAACATGTTCGACTCTATTTGTTTGATCGACAAGTTCGATTAGCTATTTAAGTTTGGCTTGTTTAAATATATAAGCGATTCGATATTGAGTTTTCTCAATTCAAACCGACATATGTGAACAAATAATTTGGTTCTAATCATGACCAAAATCGGTTACAGATCGAAACCGCCGATACTGGGTCGAGAGTTGGAGGACCCTGAACCGGCACGAACATATGTACATGCCGGTTCATTGACTGTCGGTTATTGGTCGTTGGTTCATTAAAAAGTAAAAAATATTTAAAAAATAATATTTTTTTTAAAAGCCGAACCTCGGGTTCCGGTTCCAGTTCGGAACTAAAATTGCATGTTCAAAATGTATAAATTATAAAGTATTGTACATCAACCGAACCGGTCAAAACCACGGGCGGTTCAAGACCCATGGTCAGCGGGCCGAACCAACAGACTGGATCGGCCCATGACCATGTCTACTAGGTTCCAATAATAACTACAATAATATGTAGCCTCGGGTTAAAAAAATTTT